AAGGGAGGGGGGGGAACCAGGGAAGGCCAAATGTAAACAAATTAAACCAGTTTTAACCAATTCTCTAAATTTGGAAATTAGCTTTTATTTCCTATAATTTCCCAATAATCTTCAATATCTTTAGATCCACAACTTTCATAAAATGATACCTGGTGATTGTGTCACAAAGGTACTTGTTCAGGCACTTCCTGTTATAGGTAGACAAAGCTCTGTTCCTGTTTCCCACTTGTGCTCCTGCCTTGTCACCCTGCCACATTGGCACCCATTGGAGAGTCCAACTGGCCATTTCCACACACATTACCATGGCATGGTACCCACCTGAGAAATGCCACGTAGCCATCCTTGGAGTGCATGTAGACCAGGAAAGGCTGCAAAGAGCCTTGAGATCAGCAGCACTGGGATGCAACAAAGGATAAGTAAAAAAAAAAAAAAGATAAAAACATCTATTTTATTTAAAACAAATTGCAGTTGCATATGATACCCAATGCGGAAACATATTAGATGTCATCTGTTGGGGTTTACATCTACTTTAGTGCTGGTACACTAGGAGGTGATCCAAAGCTTCCTGTTATATTAATCTTTTTTTTCCCAAGAATTCTTGAAGGGTACGGTTGACTATATTAGTACAACTCCTGTTTAGTGTGCTGTCAGGGTCATCTATTCCTCCAGAAAGGTCATTTTATTGTCTGGGGTCCTGGAACAGAAGCTCACCCTCTGCGAGGTTTCCGCAAGTCATCGCTCATTCTGTAAGTAGCAAATGTATGAGCGGGAATTACTTATTAAAAGCCCGTTGACCCGTGATTTAAAGATGCGTCCCGTGCCGCAGAGATGTCACCTCTTCCCAAGGCTGAATATTGGCTCTGACAACAAAACGACTCTCCCTTCCATTGTGTCACATCTCCTCCCATGAAAGATATTCATTTAGGAGTCGATCTGAAGCTCGGTTATCGGCGCCTTTTTATTGGGTTTTGTATTCATATGTTCTCATCTGAGGCTTCTCTTATCAGAGTGATCTGAGAATGGCGCTTTGCAGCTTCCTTTTACAGGCGCTGTAAATAATGCAAGACTCGGCCTTCCTATGGGAGAGGCAGGTAGACTCCGGAGCTGTCCCAGATGACATTCTGAATTATTCCTTGCTGTGTTAATAAATAAAAGCCTGTCACATATCAGGATAAGGTGAGGGAGATAGCATGGAGACAAAAGCAGGGTGGTCTGAAGCTTACAAACAATTGCATTTTTAATAAGCTGTATTCCTGGCTACAGTCACATGGGGTTATTACTTAGAAATGTGGATAACAAAGAACACATTGCATATATGGACCTAATTTATGGAAAGTCCAAAAGACATTTAGACTAGGGAATATGTATAATATACGGTATAATAGACCTAGATTGTTAGTTTTTAGTGCTGATAGCATGGTGCCAGTGACATCGGTTGCTTCCGGCTCATGGCTCAGATTTATATTGCTGTCTGTGTCCCCGTTAGAATAATTCACCCTCTCTATTTGTCCTTGTGACTGTAATTGCCGAAAGTTAAGAAGATCCCAAATGTTGGGTTTTCACCAGAACAGGGATAGATGGGAAATTTTCAAAAAGGGGGACACTTGTTCTTGAAGCCTACTGACCACCAGGGTTTTCCCTCGCTTTGCAGGGATTACTTCTCATTTGCCCTTGTGGCAAATCCCCCCCAGACCCACCCCTAATGGGACAGTGATGGAAAAAAAAAAGCTGATGGGTATAACCTTCCCTTACTCTATGCAAAACTAAAAAGAACACTTTGCCTTAGTTCTACGTTAATACACTGGTAGAGTTCTATACGAACGTTCATTCTAAAAATCTCCTCAGAACATTCAATAATGCCATCAGAGACTTGACGAAGGTCTTTCCAAATTTGGTTTAGTTATAACATTCGATGATGGAAATAAATGGCGTTTTCTGAACGAAAACCACATTCACTGTTAAGATTTTTGGAGTATGCTGCTTCCAAGCCCATAGTTGGGTCACCCGAGGACACCGCGTGCCACACACCAGGCCGGGGCTCGTCCTATGTCCCATCCACCGTTTTTAGAATACAATAACTTGGAGGGGAGATTCCCCCATCCACACCGTTTAGCTTTAGGTGTGTGGGAAAATTTCTTGTTCCAAACAAATGTACACAGTGTCTCCACCTAGGTAGGGGCTCTTTGTTCATTTGCCAGCATTTGAAGCTTACGTAGTCCCGCTGACTTTTTTTTCCTGAATTAACTTCTCTGATTTGCTCCCTTTTGGTTTGTTAAAAGCGTCCTCTTCTATCTCTAAAAAAAAACTGTTGATCCTGACACAAATCCATTAAGCTTCTAACTTCCAGGACACTTCCTGCTCTGTCATAATGTTATCAGTGATAACAGCCCTGATTAGTTCCTTTTGGGCATTATAGAACCCCCCCCCCCCCTTATGTTATGCAGATACAATACCAGCATTGAGTTTTCACCAGTGGTGTCGCCAGGGAAAGCAGTGTAACTCAATGGGTTGGCATAGCTGGAATATGAGGCCAATGGGAAGCAATCCCCAAATATTGAAGTCCTGATCCAACTTGGTACACTCCTTCGAGCTTGACATTTGGAGGGCTCTCAATGGAATCGGGTAACGAGTACTATGTACACACTGCAAACATTCAAACAAGTGAGACCTTACTGTCTTCCGACTGTATAAATGATATCATAGGGTCCTGCCGTTTACAGGAGGTGCTATAGAAAATTAGAAGAGGCCTATAATATGTGTATATGATGTTTAATATACAGATTACCATTCGTTTACATTTACACTCTTCTCATCTTTTTGCAGACACGCCTGTGTAATCCGCGGACAGGTGATGACATCAGATGGGACTCCGCTAGTGGGCGTGAATATCAGTTTTGTCAACGTCCCTCCCCTGGGATATACCATTAGCAGACAAGATGGCAGGTAATGTAGTAAACGCCGTATATTATAAACCGCTGAAACCTTAGCTTGTATCCTAGACCTTTTAATTTGCTTAGTGACAAACACTAATATATACACTGAGTGGCCAGATTATTATGACCACCCTATCAGTACTTTGTTGGGCCATGAGATAACTCCACGAGATGACTTCGTTGGGCCGCCTCGTGACTCCACGAGATGGTGAAAGGTGATGCGAGGAATCTGACACGGCACTGTTGCCCTTCTGTTGTCTTGTACCAGTCTTGCCCCTCCCCCGTTCTGCCCTAACATTGACTAGTCACTGACGTCCACAATTCGCACGTTCAGACCCAGATTTTCGGCTGACAGTCCGGTCTTTAAACACTTTAACAATGAGCCCCTCTTGAACATTTAACGAATTCTGCTGTTTTGCTGATACTCGCTCCATGGCTCAGAGCGCCAACAATCATCCCACGTTCAAAGGCTGTTAAATCGCGTTGTTTCCCCGTATCTTCAGAAACAAATCACTTCTACTGTCGTGGTAAACAACCCGCTCCCCTATTTATAATGGTCTGGCCCTCTAGCAACTTCAGCGCCAAATTATAGCTAATTTGCCTACAAACGTCAGGTGGTCATAATAATCTGGCCACTCAGTGTATATATATATAATTTTGCAAGCAATTGAACGCATTATATGCATCACATGTACAGAGTCAGGAGTGCAGGGCTAGTGTTTGATACTGAAAAAGCTGTGGTCATGGCTTTTAAGCACTGGCAGTGTGTGTTAGGAATGTTATATTTATAAGAGATGAGTGGGGCTTGGGCCTAGTCACCGCGCTGGCACTGGAGTCTGAAATACCATGGAAGAACCCAACGGATGGATGCAATGGGAAGTGTCTATGTAACCAGGTAGCCGAATGGATACCCTGAAAAAGGAACCTTCCACTCTACAGATGTGCAAGAAGACTCCAGACCTGACACATCGCATGACCAAGTCCAACTACAGCCAAAACATTTTGGTATTTTAGATAGATTGGGGAAGGTTTGGAGCCTTTTTCAGGTGTTAATTGCTTTCTGCACTTTTGCTTCCTGTCAGGACAGAAAGTATTAGGAAATCTCAACAGCAAGTAGACAAAATCACATTTGTAAGGAGAGCTTAAAACCTCAGCAAATGTTTTTGTTGCTGTTTCTGCCTTTCTTTGGACACCCCGTTCCTCCCCAGTTCTTGCGTTGGTGTCTCATTGGCGGGAAGTAAGGGAAAATCGTTTCAATGGCACCGCAAATAAATAAAAACGTGGGAGCAATGTAAAATCTTCCCACTATAAAATTAACCGGAGTTAGGCCTTAAGTAGACGTGAACTCTCAAATTAAAGTTCATCGCCCAATAGTTGGATCGCTGGTCTATTATCAAAATGTTTTATTCCTTGAAAATGTACTGTGGTGCATGCTTCCTCAGAAACTTCTGTGTATGTACATGTGCTCCACACAGTGGCGACAGAACTACATTTCCTTGTATGCATAGCACTGGGAGTCCTTGCAGTGGCTTGTACTCATCTTGGGAAGCAGCAACACAGATGGGAAGTGCTGTCAATCACTTTCTTTAGTAGGTCGGCATACGTGAGAGGAAGCTGTTTTACTGTGTCCTGCTGTGCCCCTCACTTGCTGGGGAGGCATCTATAGTCATGTAGGTTTGTAGTACTCTCTGCATGAGTTTGCCCCAGATGACAACAGTTATCCTGCTAGCAGACTGTTGTCACCCAGGGACAGGAAGAGGGGATAGACCTTTAGTAAATAGCAATACCAAAGACAGCTTGCTGGAGTGGAAGCACTAAGAGGACATCTTGGTAGACAGCAGTTTTACTGAATAACAGTTTAGGTGTAAAGCCCATCTCAAGGAAAACCAAAAAGAACCCTTGCAGTGGGGCTACCTACATACTGCAAAAGTTAAGTGCTTGTTTCTGCCTAATGACTGGAGTAAACCCGATTTACTTACTTGATCCCCACTCCCTCCTCCCTACCTCCAGGCTGCTAGACCGGTCCCCGCGGCCTCTTCTTCCGTGGGCTCCATCACGTCTAATGCAGGTTCCATAGACCTGCATTTGACTTTAGGATGCCATGGGGCATTCCACCAGCTGGAGCAGAGGAATAGAATACTAGATCACCGATTGCTGGGGGAGCAGGGATCACGTAAGTAAAACACCTTTACTCCAGCCCATAGAAAAAACAAGCACTTAACAAGGTAACCCCACTCCAAGTGTAGATTTTTGCTTGCCCAGAGATGGGCTTTAAACATTAGCGGGGCTTTAGTTTGAATGACCGTAAAGAACTTTGTTAGGTCAACAGGGTTAGACCACCAGCCCAAGACTATATATATAAAAATAGTCAACACTGTTATTATTTTGTACACTTTATATATATATATGTGTGTATATATATATATATATATGTATATATTATAAATGAGTCCTCATTTAAAATGCTGGGGGACAAAAACGTATGCAGTCAACAGCACCCCCCAGAGTCCTCGCCTCCCTTCCTTTGGTTCACTTGAGCAATGGCCGCAGTTACAAGGTTGCTATGTGCAACGCTTATTCTCTTGTCAGGCAGTTTCTATACACCAGGCCCAAGGTAACAAGAAACGATGGAGATGAACTAGAGGGAAGTCTCGGGGGAGAGGAAGAAGCGTGGCGCTTTCGTGACCTCCAGCACAGGCCGCCATTCTTAGCTAAGTAATGTAATGCAGCATTGCTGAGCTGCA